AAAAAAAAAAAAAAAAAAAAGATCTTTGAATTTGTTATAATTTGTCATTTGGGAGACCTCTTTAAGTAGCATTTTTTCCTTGAGGTTTCTTTGAAGATCATTGACTATTTTGACAGAGGAAGAAGCTAAAAGCTAAAGTATTCTGAAGTAGACATTTAGAAGTTTGCATTTGACTTATCTTTGCTTTACTAAAAAGGAAGCTAAAATGGAGATAGAAGTGATAGACTTCTATCCACTATTGTTTCTTTGAATTCGTGTTCTAATCTCTGTTCTCTCACCAGCTGTGTGAATTTGGAAGTTACTTAAACTCACTCTGTCTAATTTTCTCATTTGTGAGAGGGGCATAGTAATAATACCTACATGATCGGTTACTCTGAGAATTTAGTGAGATGACACCCCACACCCCTTAGCACAGTGCTGGTACAGAGGTGAGCACTCAAAAGTGTTAGCCATTCACAATAGGAAATCCTAGGCTCAGTCACTGTGTTGCTATGTGACTTCCTTAAAAGAGCCACAGCTTATGCCAGATGTGGTGGCTCACACCTGTCCTATAATCCTAGCACTCTGGAAGGCCCAGGGGGCTCAAGAATTCAAGACCAGCCTGAGCAAGAGAGAGACCCCTGTCTCTAGAAATCGCTGGGTGTGGTGGCAGGCACCTGTAGTTCCAGCTACTGGGAAGATGAAGGCAAGAGGATCTCTTCAACCCAAGTCTTTGAGGTTGCTGTGAGCTATGATACAACAGCACTCTACAGAGGGCCAGAAGAGGACAAAGTGAACCTCTGTCTCAAAAAAAAAAAAGAAAGAAAAGAAAAGCCATAGCTTTTCTGAATCTGTGTTACTTTGTAAACACCTACCCTAGAGCATTGTTTGGAGACTCAACTGTGCCACTAGGTGGGCAGGATTTCCTACTGAAGTCCTCTGGAGTTGGGGGTTCTGGTTGTAAGGCAGAGCATGATGCTCCAGAGTCAGATGAATCTGATGTCAAACGCTGGCCCTCTGACTTTCCCACTAGCTCTTCAGCCCAAGAAATGTCACTTAACTTTTTCACCTCTTCCTCACCTATACAGTGCAGATAGTATTAATAATCCCAACCCTAACCTTGCTGGAAATTAAGTGAGATAACTTATTAAAGCACCAAACAGTGTGCTTCCTCCTTGGGGGTGGTGTTCAGTGAATTCTAGTTTACTGCACCTGTTTTGCTTTTTCCTTCCTTCCTGTTGGTCTGCAGAGTGATACAAAATGTGATAGACCACTTGCCCAAGTATAACTACCTGGTTGCTGTGGATGAGTCTGTTCAGACCCTGGAAGACATAGTCAAGGTACAGTGGTTTCTTTCCATGCGGCTATGACATACCTTAAATAGTTTTACCCCCTAAAGTGTGGTTATGGAATCAGTTGTGCTATCAAGACTGGGATTCCTATAATGGAATCTTCTTAAAGTACAAACATGATATCTGCTCATTTGTAGTATATACTTTGAGAAATTTCTACCAAAATAGCCTTTCTCTCTTACATGGACACAGGGAAATGGGAAGGGCCACCATAGGGCTCAAACTGAGATGGGGGTCATTGTACCTCAGACACACAACTTGTACAGTGACACACAGGAATACTACCGTGTCAATTGACGCTTACCCCAAAGTATTGACATGGTCTGGTTCACCAGATCTGTTGGTCACTTCCCAGAGCGCTAGATTTGTGAGGCCTACCTCTTCCAGTCTAGGCCACTTTGCCAGAAGCAGCCACTGTGTGGCTCAGCCAGTGCAGCTTCCTCCCGCCCTTCCCCTGGCCACTCCCTGCTCATCATTAAGATTTAGCTCAGACATCTTCCTCTGCACCCTCCCCACCTCTGTCCTACTGTCTGCACAGATCACGTGCCTCTCTTCTGTACTCCCAGAATGTCTTAGGCTGTTGGAACTGCCATAACAAAATACCACAAACTGAGTAGTTTATAAAGACATACATTTATTGCTCACAGTTCTGGAGGCGGGGAAGTGTAAGATCAAGGCAGATTCAGTGTCTGGTGAGGGCCTGCTTTTTGGCCTTATAGATGTTATCTTCTCACTGAATCCTCCACATGGTGGAGAGGGCAAAGGAGCTCTCTGAAGTCCCTTTTATAAGGGCACTAATCCCATTCATGAGAGCTCCACCCTTATGACCCAATCCCTTCCCAAAGGCCCAACCTCCTATTACCATCACTTGGAGGGTGAGGATCTCAATTTATGAATGGGATGGGGGGAGTAAGCATTCAGAATATAGCGCAGAGCTGCAGACATTCCACATGGTAATTATCTGGATACACTTCTGTTTCCACTTTCAAACTTTGAGATCCTTGAGAGCAGAGCCTGAGCTGTACTCATTTCTATCTCCACTTCCTGACACTAATGGCAAGATTTCTTTTTTCTTTTGTATTTAGTTATGTTCATATTCATTTCAAATTTATATAAAATAAAACCTTGGATAAACCAAATGATATTTCTATTTTCTTCTAACAGTGTATCAGTAAAAGTACCGGCCCAGGGAAAATCCAGAAATTACCCAAAGAAACTGCTTCCCTCACCAAGGACTTAACAGTTAGTACATAAGAGATTTCTGTTGTTATTTAACTGTTTTCCTAAACAATATTGATTCTTGAGTGATCTTAAGTCAGAAAGAAAGCCTGGCTCCTGGGCCGGGTGCCCCTGCTCAGTGGTTAGGGTGCCAACCACATGCACCTGGACTGGTGCATTCGAACCCCGCCCGGGCCTACTAAACAAACAAACAAAAATAGCTGGGCATTGTGGTGGGCACCTGTAGTCCCAGCTACTCAGGAGGCTGAGGCAAGAGAATCACTTGAGCCCCAGAGTTTGAGGTTGCTGTGAGCTTAAATGCTACAGCACTCACTCAAGGGCAACAAAGTGAGATTCTATCACAATGAAAAAAAAAAAAAAAGAAAGAAAGAAAGAAAACCTGGCTGTAAGCCTGTCTTCACTGTACCAGATGTTCTATCCTAAGGCAACTTACTCTTCCCTGCAGCCTTCTTTTCTGAAAAGCCCTCAGAAGTAATGGTCATAAAATGTATTTGAAAGATGTTTCATATGGAAAATAATATACAAACATAGGTACGGTTTGGGGGGATTTTTGGCCTCTTTCTGAAATTCAAACAGCAATCTGGGATTCCAGTCCCATCACATCAAAATATAATAGGTTTTGGCTAGGCACCCCTGGCTCAGTGGTTAGGGTGCCAGCCCCATGTACCAGGGCTGGTGGTTTTGAAGTAGGCCCCAGCCTGCTAAACAAAACAAAACAAACAAACAAAACAAATGAATAGGTTTTAGGCTGGGCAAGGTGGCTCGCACCTGTAATCCTAGCAGTCTAGGAGACCAAGGCGGGTAGATTGCCTGAGCTCACAGTTTTGAGACCATCCTGAGCAAGTGAGAGACTTAGTCTTCAAAAAACAGCCAGGCACTGTGCGCCCATAGTTCAGTGATTAGGGCACCAGCCACATACTCTGGGGCTAGAGGGTTTGAACCTGGCCCTGGCCTGCTACAACAATGACAACTAGGATGACAACAACAACAAACAATAGTTGGGCGTTGTGGCTGGTGCCTGTAGTCCCAGCTACTTGGGAGGTTGAGGCAAAAGAATTGCTTAAGCCCAAGAGTTTGAGGTTGCTGTGAGCTGTAATGCCATGGCACTCTACTGAGGGCAACATAGTGAGACTCTGTCTCAAAATTTAAGAAAATAATAAAATAAATTAAAAAAAACAAAGCTGGCTCAGCCCCTGTAGCTGAGTGAGTAGGGTGCCAGCCACATCAACGAGGCTGGTGGGTTCAAGCCCAGCTTGGGTCTGCTAAACAACAATGACAATTAATTCCAACCAAAAATTAGCTGGGCATTATGGCAGGCACCTGTAGTCCTAGCTACTCAGGAGGCTGAGGCAAGAGAATCACTTAAGCCCAAGAGTTTGAGGTTGCTGCGAGCTATGAGGCCATAGCATTTTACTGAGAGCAACAAAGTGAGACTCTGTCTCAACAAACAAACAAAAAACAATAGGTTTTATTTATGCAGTGTGGTCTTTAAGCTTACCCTTTTAATTATTTTATTTGTATTTTTTTAGAGACAGAGTCTTACTTTGTTACCTTTGGGAGAGTACCGTGGCATCACATTTTACAGCAACCTCCAGCTCTTGGGCTTTAAGCAATTCTCTTGCCTCAGTCTCCCGAGTAGCTGGGACTATAGGTGCCCACCATAATGCCCGGCTATTTTTTGTTGCAGTTTGTCCAGGGCTGGGTTTGAACCTGCTACCCTCGGTATATGGGGTCTGCGCCTCACTGACCCACAGGCGCTGCCTTTAATTTTTTTTTTTTTTTAAGAGATGGGGTTTTGCTTTGTCACCCAAACTGGAGTGCATTGGCTTCATCATATAGCTCATTGTAACCTTGAATTTCTGGGCTCAAGCAATCCTCTTGCCTCAGCCCCTGAGTAGCTGGGCACAACCACTACAGCCAGTTAATTTTTTTTTTCTTAATTTTTGTAGAGATGGGGTCTTACTATGTTGGTTAGGCTAGTCTCAAATTTTTGGCTTCAAGTGATCCTCCCACCTTGGCCTTCCAAAGTGTTAGGATTACAGGCATGAACCACCATGGCTAGCGTTAAGCTTGCTTTAGAATGTAATTCTTTTTGATAATAAATTCCATCTAAATATTGTGCTTGAATATGTTTCTAAAGAGGCTAGTATTTTTTT